TGTAAAATTATAAATTACAAATACAAGAAAAACACCAAATAAAAAGAACAGAAACACAAGATCTTACATGATTCAAACGATCAAAATAATTTTCAAAGTTATACGATACTGACAAAACTGCAAAGACTGTACCGTTTCTATGTTTTATATGACCTTTCAGATATCTTGCATTGAATATTATAGACGCTCTTAGAGCGTATTTTCGAGCTAGGGATATTTTGGAAAACTGGGAAAGACATGATATCTAAAGAAGTTACTTAGTTCAGTTCTGTAAAAAATTATGATGTAATAAATAACTTATATTAACTTGCGATGGGATATGTAATTGATGTATGGTATATAACATCAACAAAATATTTTGAATACGAAAAAGCTAACGGCTTGCTGTGAGTATACATGTATCACTACATAAGGGCCTACATAAGGGCCTACATAAGTGTTAAGTAATGGTCCGAGTAAGAAGCAGGCAAGCAAACGGCAATGGAATGCATGAGGGTGCTAATTTTGTATTGTATAATCCATCCATCTCATTGGTTAAAACATTAAAATTTGACATAATTTCAAAAGTAAGCGCATTTTTTAAATATTTTATTTAATATGTGATTCCGACTTCATAAAAGCTTTCCTTAGCTTTAATATTAATAGCAATTCTATGTGGGGAACATAGCAAATTAGAAGCATTTTTTGGCTATTGTTTTGAGTGCTTATGATTGGACAAGATCTTTTAATACAAAAGAAACTTTGTTTCAAAACAGAGTTTATTCACATTTTATTTTAAAAATGTGTTACCCATAGGTTGATATATAATCAGTGTGTAGACCAAGACATTCGTATGTGGGGAAGTTGCAATTGCCGCAGAACAATAGAAAGTTGCCTGCTTTTTGCGCGCATTGTTACTTAAACATGATCGTAGCCCGACGTCACGATCGATTCGMTCGTCTAGTTTTTATTGCAAAGAAAGTCTCAAATCTGATAAACAAAGTTGTCTTGATTCCCTTGGTCCAACTTAAATATGGAAGTTGGACTGATACCATAGCAACGGTCCAATACGGCTCTGGACGGACCGCGCGTCAGCCAATCAGAATTCAGGAAATTTACAAGCCATATAATAAACAKATTTATTTGATTGTTATCCCTCTAAAGTCCAGTGAAGCGAAATCTTCATCTGACTTTTTATTTGGTACGAAAACGACTTGTTTTGTGAAACGATCATCGTCGAGAAAATTCATTTGGTGTCCTACCTTGTCACTTATATTAACTAGGGGCCATAACAAGGTAAAATCTAAAAACAAATACACACCAGGTACATAAAACACAAGAAAAACAGGTATGTAAGTTTAAATAATTTCGTTTTTTTCAATTTTTTGCCTTCAGAGTAGAGCTTGGGCTACCTGTGCTAAAGTCAACGAATTCAGAGTACGAAATTCTTTTTTAAAAACTTTCTCTTTCTTTTGCATAAGCTTTTCGAGGAATATATGATTGTATTTTTAAGTATTTGTTCGCATGTCATTACATTCCTTGAAACAGCGTACCTCTACTAAGTATGCTTGAATTGAAATGGAGTACTAGATAATMATTCTTTTCTATAACGAGTTCGACAGTAGTCCCGGTTCAAATATCGATTCTTTGCCGGCGTGTCTATCTTTTAAAATCTRATTGCGTGTATGTAGACTATTTGTATTTAAATCAATTGATACCCAGATTTTATTAGCTGCCGGCCATTTAGCATTTTCAAGACCTTGACCGGTAACCGGCCATATATACACAGCGTATTTTCTTATATTCGATCGTGACATCCTTACAAACAAACTCTTTTTGTTGTTTTCCCTAAAGTGAGCAGTATAAAGGAACAAAAAGATTGGTAACTAGATTCAATTTAGCGCTATAGCATGTCAAATGGTTATTTTTTTCCCTTAAAATAACATATCGCGCCCTAGGCCCGCTAACTGGCGCGCGTATACTCTCGCTGATCAACTTTAACGAGGGTACGTTTCCTAAGAAAATACGTGGCATAGCCCCAAGATCTATATCATTTGCTGTGATCTGCTAGTTTTTACACGCTCACTTAGTATACTAAAATAACCTGTTGCATTGTTTCGATGACCAGTGTATCTCCTGATGTACTCAGCTTCACTACTGTAAAACAAAACAAAACGAAAAAACTATAAATATACGAAGAATAATCGACATGTTTCGGCATTTTTCATGCCACTAAGCACATGCTAAGAAAATTGATTGACAGATAATGTGATATACAATAGTCATGGTTACTAAGTAAGGTAATATCTAATTAAAGTAAAGAGAGAACGACAAGTTTTAACAAAATATATTAACTATATTATCCTACAAATGAAAAGCTATAATAAATGGTGTTTTCATGTGCTTAACCTGAACATTGAGATCAGGTTTGAGATTATTAATGTAGAAAGCTTCTTTGTGTTTAAGAAAAATAGGAGAGTTAACGGTATCTATTCTCTTAAAACAATTTTGTTAATATTTTTGTGAGCAGGCCTCAATTGAAATGTGTTTTATACACCTATTCAGTTGAAACTGAACATAAACATGGAAACGAGGCGTAATAACCCTAAATCCAAGATGGCAGACGATGAGGATGATCCATCTTCTACAAGAAGATATTCCTGCTTCCTCCTTCACAAATGAGCGTATTGGAAAACGTTCGGTCAAACAATTCCAATTCTGGCTGAAATGCCGAGAACCCAACAAAGAAACAAGAAAGAGCTCGTGGAGAGGWAACATTAGATTTACATTTTGAACATTGTTGCCGTGCATCTGTTACCGTTGTAAGTCAGCTTTTATAAATAATTATAGTTTCATTATTTTTCTTCTAGGGATAATCTGAATGAAATGCCAGAGATAAGGGACAACAACCCCGATTCATAGTCAAAAGCATACACAAAGGCGAAAATCGCAAGGCTGTAAGGCTGGTAATGCAGGTGTAATTAGTGAACRAAATGCGGGAAAAATCGACTTCCCTTCTGATGATTTTGACAAAATTTTGTAATGACTTCTCTGTGTTACTGGACTCTGTTCCGACAGACACTCTAGRACATCTGTTAAAGTGTGGAAAACTATAAAAATATAAAAATATCGGGCATGGGTAGTAGCGACTATTTTTTAGAACCAAATGATATAGTCAACTCTTCCACTCCCTTCTTCGTTGCAGGATGATGCCCCTAAAAAAAACATCGTGCAGCATCAATATGTCCAAAAAAATATATATCGAGCATGGGTAGTACCGACTATTTTTTTAAACCAAATGAAATATTCTTCGTAGCAGGAGGTGGAAAAAGAAATATTCACGATTAAAATTTCACGTAAATTTGATGCCTTTTATATGCTCTCGATGCCCCTCAAAATGATAAAAATCGCATGTCTTAGAGTTCTTATTTTAATATTTTCTGTGGGAGGACCACCATACACCCCTTATTACTCTGGCCTTTGGCTTCCGTTACACACCTCAATCAAAAATATGTATCGGACCGTATCGCRGTCCCTGAGAAGTGCAGCCCAGCCAAAATGTCCACACTAACCCCGCCTGTCTTCGCTTATCCAACTTTCAAATTAAAGTTTAGATGTGTAGTTATGTAATAACAATGCAACGTATAGGGTTATAAAGCAGCAACTATGCAAGAAAAACCTCCAAAACTACAGTTAATCAAGAATTTCCATTTACTAGGCAAATCAAGCAAAAATGAAAACAAACATATTTTATCTGTGGAAAAATCGAAACTAATTGGTGTTTTTGTGATTTTAGCGATTTGTTAAGATGATGAAAGGGAGATATATATCCCATGATATATTACAAAACCATTCAAAATGGCGACCTTGTGATATGGAATATAGTGTTGGGCGCCCTGTGTGTCACGCAACGGATTACATTACATCGAGAAAAAACTTTGACTATATCTGTTGAGAAGCATTTGTTTTCTTTTTTGCACATCACCAACGTATTCAAAGACGACTTTTACAAGAATAAAATCAAAGTAATCTACTTACAGGACAAAGAATACGATTTCGAAGAATTCAGAAGATTTCTCGCCCAGACATAAACAATTCTAAGTAGCCGATGYCGCGACGATACGACACTGGCTTGTAGCGTTCGCCCCCAATTCTGACACTTGTTCAAGAYATTTCAAGTAAAAAAGTACAATACGTTCACAGATGATTAGCAGGTACACCACTTTATATCTTTAATAACTAATAGATGAATATTACGACCAAATCAATTTTATTTTGGTAATTTCTTTGATTTTGCCGCCTTTAGTACTCAATCAATTTTGACAAATTTGATCGTTCTTTAACTCAAAAATACTCGTTAAATTCTAAATAGCCCAAAAATTTTATTTGACATATCAAAAGATCTATCCTTGGTGTACATCTGGATGTTGTTTTTATTATCTGGTTCGAGGTATCAGTGGCGATATTTTGAGTTGAAAAGTATACGGTAAAACCTTGACCAAAATAAAGACCAACTTCAAAAATTGCTGAAATATTTACGTWTGAATGAAATWCAATATTTGAACTTGCCTGTCCTTCTTTGATAACTATATTTTACAGAAATAAAGCAAAGAGTTGAGTTGCGCGTGAATTACCAGCTCTAAAGGGCTATTTCCGGTCCAGGTCAAATTACGTTGGAAATCATGTCACTCGCCGGGAAAACCCAAATGTCKWSTTATCTCAAAAAATRTTTTTCCAATTGAACTTAAAACCTTTTTKATATTATTAGGTCSACCCAACTTACATTCTGGTAAAGTTTGAGCGATTTTGATTTTTCGGCTATTTCCAGCCATAGGCGATTTTTACGGACGACCTCTCTTAAGTATTTCCAATAAAGTATCATCTCTTTCTTGTCGTCGAAATATCAAAGTAAAATCCTTTTTTCTAATAGCGGAGCTCCCGCGCGGGCCGAAGGCCCGCTCGAGCGGAGCACCATAGCTAAGAAAAAATGGTATACCATCGAGTCGATTTTCCATGGACC